CGCCATCGCCCAAGGCGAGCCATTCGAAAGAGACACTTGGTTCTTGGACAGTTGCTGCGGACAACACATGTGCTCCTCAGGACGTTTCGTTCAACGCGAGCACCAACTCCAACGAGAAGTCGTCATCACCGTCACCAATAATCAAAACATGCGCACAAGAAGACAAGGCATAGTGCAACTTCAGTCACGGGAAACAAACGTCGTCCTACAAATGTCAAAGGTCCTGATAGTAGAGGGACTCGGCTACAACTTACTGAGCGACAGTCTGTTGATGGCAAAAGGCATACACCTGGAAGCCGACAGTACCACCCAGGAGTTCAAACTGTACCACGGGAAGGGTGGCCTCTACATCGGAAAGGCGGTCCTGAAGAACAATGTCTTCGTCCTTGACTTCGTCCCAGACCTGGGCAGCGCAGACAGCGACGCCATCGTGAACTTCGCCGACTGGACACACCCTCCAGATCTTGATCCAGACTTCAGCCCGGAAGGCTTCTGGTACTCGCATACAATCCCTGAAGCAGAATGTTCACGTGCTTTAGTAACAATACAAAATTCGGCAGCAGCAGAAATAACATCGGCAGCAGCAGAGACAACATCGGCAGCAGCAGAGACAACATCGGCAGCAGCAGAGACAACATCGGCAGCAGCAGAGACAACATCGGCAACAGCAGAAACATCATCGGCAGCAGCAGAAACATCATCGGCAGCAGCAGAACCATCGTCAGCAGCACCGACACCAGTTCTCGTTGACGAAGCACCACCAACACCCGCACAGCAGCTGAACCCAACTCAACGAGAAGTCCACAGAAGCGCAAACTTCGTCGCCAGCTTCTACTCCAACTCCGACGCATATCGACGCTCACCCGGACATCGCGCCTCCGAAGACATCTGGCACGCACGCATGGGACATCCAAGCAACACCGTGTTAAATAAATAATACAATAAGAGCAGGAGTCCTAGACAATGACTCATTACTACTACTCGACAGCAGAGAACTTCAACGGGCACGAGGAACTTGCCTTACCTGCCCCGAAGCCGACTTACCACATCGATCGTTCACTCCTCATCACAACCCGAGCGCACCCGCGTACGCACCACTCGAGAAGGTGTACAGCGATATTCTCTTCAATCGAGAACTAGGACAAGTTACTTACAACTACACGATCACCTTCATCGATGCCTCCACTCGATACGTCTGGCACCTAAACCTACCCAGCCGCAACATGGCACTCGCAGCGTTCGCCGCCTGGCTACCAGTAGCAGAGAGAGAATCGGGAGCACAGCTGAAAAGCTTCCAGTCAGACGGAGGAGGAGAATACACTTCTTAGCGATTCAAGCAGTACCTGGCGGAAAGAGGAATCAAGCAGCTCCTCTCCCTTCCCTACGCCCATCCCTAAACCCTAAACCCAGAAGCACGAGCGGGAAGATTTTCACAACGCGCACAGTGGGGACTACACCTCGGCATCGAAAAGAATTACAACGCGTGGAAAATCTTCGACGTCCACTCCAAGGAAACAGTAGCAGCATGTGACGTAATCTTCTACGAACGACTCACACTTCAGACGTACCTTGCCAACTTGCACGAAAATCAAGATCCCATAGGTGGCTTTCGTGGTGACCGAGCCTTCGCCTCAGCAGCGGACGAAGCAGACTGGGACGAGCAGAATGTAGACAACGCATCAGAAGAAGCCGGGCCTCTTCCGTTCTGCTCCGTCAACGTCCCCATGGACGAAGAAAACCCTCGCGAAAGCGCCAACGCCGAAGTCTTCTACCACTTCGCCGACAACGGTTACGTAACACCTGCGACAGTCAACACGAACGAAGCAGAACGGATAGGGCCGAATTTCATACCCGACCCAGAAGCGGGAGATGAAGCAGCTTATCCCGAGGATACAACTCTTCCCCGCTACTCACAGAATGGACTGCAGATTCTCGGCCTCGTCACCGCAGTCCACGGCAACAATCTTCGTAATGAGCCTGCGACGGTTCAGCAGGCTCTGGGGGGGGAACACAGGGAGAAATGGCGTGAAGCCATGGACAGAGAATTAAAGGCGCTGGAGGAACGTAACACCTAGAAAGTCTTTCCCGTAAGCGTGGCAAGGAACAAGACCATCCTCACCGGGAAATGGGTCTTCTGCATCAAAACGAAGGCAGACGGCACAATCGAGAAATTCAAAGCACGCTGGGTCGTGCGTGGATTCGATCAGGAACACGGACGAGACTTCACCGAGACATTCGCCCCGGTTAGCCGACATACTTCACTCCGAATCCTCCTCGCGATCGCCGCCATGAAGAAAAAGAAACTGCGGCAAATCGACGTCGCTAACGCCTTCCTCTACGCACCCGTCGACGCAGAAATCTTCGTTGAACTACCGCACGGTACTAACGGAGAACCCAACCAGGTTTGCCAGCTGCTGAAATTGCTCTACGGAATCAAACAAGCCCCGCGGCTGTGGCAACAGCACCTACACGCTTGCCTCACTCGCATCGGATTCCGCCAATTGCCTCACGACCAAGGGATGTATCGACTCACCAAAAACGCCGACTACATCCTGCTGATCGTCTACGTCGACGACTTACTCTACATCGGCTCTACTGACGACATCACCACCTGGTTCGAAGGGGAGCTACAGAGGGACCTCACACTCACGGTTTCCTCTACCGTCACTCAGTACCTAGGCCTGAACATTCGGGAGGAAGAAGGCGCGATCTACCTCAACGCCGCTAAGTACGCCGACACCATCGCCAAACGCTTCGCGCTCACACCTACCACCATCTCTACGCCCTACCGTTACACGACAGGACACCACAACGAAGGGCCTTCTCTAATCAAAACCGCCGGAATACGCGACTACCAGAGAAAGCTGGGCTGCCTTCTCTTCGCAGCCGTCACCTGCCGCCCAGATCTGTCCTACTCCGCAAGTCAACTCGCTACCGATCTCAAAAGGCCTGAAGCAGAACATCTGGCGGAGCTCGACCGCGCTCTCCACTACTTTGTAAGCACTTCAACGATAGGCCTGACGTACTACAATAACACAACTACACCGACGAAACTAATCGGCTACGTCGACGCCGATCACGCCGGCGATTCAGACAACAGGTGCTCCCGCAGTGGTTACATCTACCGCATCGAACCTATCGGACCTATCTCCTGGCAATCGAGCAAGCATGAACTAATCACCCTCTCATCAGCTGAAGCAGAATATATCGCACTCTGCTCAGCCACCAAGGAAGGACTCTATCTTCGCGAGCTACTGGAAGAAGCGAAGTTAGCCGAGTTACCCAACTTCACTCTGTTCTGCGACAACCAATCTGCGATTCGCATTGCCAACAAAAGCGGATTCGCGAACAGAACGAAGCATATCGCTCTGCGATATTTCTTCGTGAAAGACGAGATCGAGAAAGGGAAACTCGAACTATCATACTGTCCCACGTCCGAGATGGCAGCTGACTACTTGACCAAGAAGCTCGGAAAACAGAAATTCGAGTACTGCATGCTGCTGACTGGACAAAGCCACGTCACCATCAGCGACACTCCAGAAGCGAAGGGGAGTGTTGGGAACAAATAGCCTTTAAGCGCCTCTGTCGTGTCGAAACTTCAAAACACAAGCGAAGCAGCGCAAATCGAAGCACCAGCGAGTCAACCCTCGGAGGTTGATGTAACCGCTGGAGGTTACGAGAAAGTCAAAGGTCAGCGACCTTTGACCTGACAAATGCAGCGCGACAACAAGGACACACAACTGACTTGACATTGAGCAGTTGCCCGAATCGCACTGTATCGAATCGCAACAGTAAAGTAGTTACAATTATGTCTCTTCATATTCTCTGTACTCATATATATATTCCCGTATCTCTTTGCTTTAATCAACTTACTTTGCCCTCACATACTAGCGCAAGGTGGTTCAAGGACTTTATTCAAAACGCTTCCGCTACTACATCATTTACTCAGACTTAAACTCTACAAAAGATCCTAGGGCGTTCAGCCCAACAAGAGTGACCCCCTAAAAACCACTCTGATTTTCAGAGAAACAGAGTAATTTACTCTGATAAAAAAACCCCTGGTTACGGGTGAAATAAATCGAGTTAGCGAGGATTGCACTAAGTTGTCAAACGAGTACAAAATGTGAGCGAAGGCATGAGCGAACATTTATACGCGAAACATGCAAATGGTAACGCGGTGCGTGCGAGCTAGCTATTGCTAGGTTGGCATCGAGGCTCGGGCTAGTCCCGAAGCGTAGGCCGACACGGTCGGGCCAGCGGTGCATGGTTTGGTGAAACAGTGTGCGCGAAGTCGGCGAAGCCCCGTTAGCAGTAACGGGCGAACAACGGCTGCTGTTGTATGCGATGTTGCAGGTCGTGGTAAGGAATGTAGAGAAAATTCCTTACAATGACACATTTCATGTCAGCCCGAGTTCCGCAACATATTTTGGCCCTGTACTGTACTCGATTCAAAGGGACAGAGAACCCCTCACCGCCATCAGTAACAGACCAAATTTTGCGATGGCGTCTTTTTGCTTGATCGTGCATTTGCGAGCTTCGCGAAAATTGAAAAGGATCTGTCGTTAGAGGTCGGGTTGGACGTGACAGCCCTTTCAGATAATTCAACCCTTTACAACCCTTTTGTAAATTCAAGAAACGTATACGATCCCTTGGGTTTTTGAAATGGGACTCTTCAACCAAACGCATTCCCGTTAGAATTTTCAATTTTCCTCAGGGGTCAGAGTTACCAGACCCTTTTTTTCTGAACATCCTACCGTTTTGTTTCTTGTTCTACTTGTCAGTATGGTCTGACCTCCACGCTACATTCCCCTGCATTGAGAGGTATTTTCTCAACATCAGGAATTCTTAACTCCTTCAGCTGGGTAGTACAGTTTCCGTCTCGCCTGGGCAACCGTAACTTCCTGAACCAGTTTATGTCTTCCAGAAAGCGGGCAGCTAAGGCATACCAGGCCAGACCAGCGCGGATTGACTTTTGAGTCGACTCAAAAGTCAACCAGTTCATGTCTTCCAGAGAGCGGGCCGCTAGCGGCATACCAGGCCACACCAGCGCGGAAGTCGGTCAGGCGTCGATTCCAACACCCGACCCGCCATTTATTCGGTGGATCAAGGAGCAGCACGCTGCCGCCTTGACCCGCTGCGATGCCGACGGTAACGACGGCTTCAGCGACGACTTCGGCGACGACTACGGCGATGGCGACGATGGCGGAAGCGACGCCGAAAACGACGGCGAGTCGGGCGACTCGTACGATATCGACGAGTACCACAGAGGGCTGCCAGGAAGGCCGTTTGACTTAACAGACGATATGTTTCGAGACGGAGAAACGGATCGAGTCAGAGAAACGGATCGAGAGTGGGAAACCGATGCAGAGGCCGAGGTGGGTCGCGTGGGGGAACGGGATTTCGGAGTCCCATGGCACGAAATCCAGGCAGGCGAAACGGAAGGGGAGGGATTAACGGAGCACGCGGCGCGGAAGATGCGGCAGTGGAGCAACGCGGAGCTGATGGAGCTCGCAGCGGCTGTCGTTTTCTGCCGGCACAGCGGGGAAGTCACGCGGCGGAGAGGCAGCAGGGGGAACGCTTACTGGCGGCAGGTGTGGCGCGTGATCCGGCGGGGGAATCCCGAATGGCGGCGCATCCCGACGGCGATGTCGCAGCAGTGGAAGCGAATGAAATCGCGCTACGACGCGGAAACTCTCGATCCACGGCGGAAGCGGCGGCAGCGGCGGGGGACGGGGTGGTGCCCCGCAAATGGGACGACGGGCACGGAGCAGCTGGCGGGGGGCGCGGAGCAGCTGGCGGGGGGCGCGGAGCAGCTGGCGGGGGGCGCGGAGCAGAGAGGTGGCGCGAGACAGCAGACGGGGGGCGCAGAGCAGTGGGCAGGGGGCGTGGGGGGACAGCAGGCGGAGAGCGCGGAGCAGCAGGCAGAGAGCGCGGAGCAGCAGGCAGGGAGCGCGGAGCAGCAGGCAGGGAGCGCGGAGCAGCAGGCGGGGGGCTCGGCTCAACAGCGGCAGGGGGGGTCTACTAACGCGGATGAGCGGGCCATAGCAGAGGAGAGCACATTCGGTAGGAATGGGTCGAAACCACCAGCATGGTTTGAATACATTCGCATGTTCTATCAGACTGAGCTGCAGGCGAGGAAAGACGTTGCTGCGAAAAGGACTAGAAGAGCAGCTAGAGCGTCAGCAGCAGCTGTTGTCGCGACGGCCTTTACTGCAACGAATCAGCCTGCTGAAATGTCAGCGTACGCGTTTCCTGAGAGGATTGGTTTAGGGTGGGAAGAGACTGGTGGGCAGCGGGGGGAGCAGCAGCCGCAGCAGCTGGAGCAGCAACGACAACAGCAGCAGCAGAAACAACAACAGCAGCAGCCGCAGCAGCAACATCAGCAGCAGGGAAACAGTGGGCCCTCCCCATTACCATTTCCGTTACCGCTACTACCATTACCTTTGCAATCCGCGCCTCTCCCTTTACCAGCAGCAGCGCCGGCCACTGCCTCTCCCTTGTCGAGGCAACCCTCTGACAAATACCTGCAGTGCCTGCGCAACAAAGTCAACCCTACAAGAAGAGGCAACCCTATTCCCACCGCTACAGACCCGATTGACTTAAGGCGAAAATTTGGTGACTCCCTGCAAAGGTATGGGGGATTCGACAACAGGCTGCTGCGCCTGCCTGGTAACAGGGTTACGTTGGCTGCTGGCTCTACAGCCCCCCTGCCCGCTACATCCCCTCTTCTTGCTACAGCAGCCCTGCCTGCTACAGCAGCCCTGCCTGCTGCAAATTTCCAGCCGACAAGTTATGAGCCTGCTGCAGCCTACAGACTAGCGGCGGCGTCACCGGGTAATTTGGCTGCTGGGGGGGGAGCCGTGCGTGGTAGGGCTGGTAGACGGGAGCAGCGGGAGCGGAATGAGAGAAGATTTGCAAGGACGGGAACGGAGGGGTTCACAGGAGGTGGAACGGATTCGAGTGCAGGGGTTTTGGGCGAGAGGGTGGGTGAGAGGGTGGGGGAGAGATTGACTGCAGCCATGGGTGCTGCAGTGAGAAATGCATGTGTTCAGTTTGATGAGCTCACTCGGGAGTTGCTGCAGGATGCTAATTCAAGATTTGAGGAGCTGTCGCAGCGATTGGCGGAGATTGCTTGTGTGCAATTTGAAAAGATTGCGAAGGAATTAGTGGAGGAGTGTGTAACTGCCAGTAGAGATGGCAAGAGGCGTAAGAAGTAGTAAATATTACGGGTGATCAGATTTGTGTCGAAGCAGGAGCGAGGAGCAAACAGCTCACTGGGGACTCGGGGGAGTTGCGTCTGGGAACTCTCAAGAGGAGCGTACTCGAGAGTTGCTGGAGGATGCGTACTCGTAATTTGAGGAGCTGTCACAGTGATGGGCAGAGGATACTTGCGTGTTGTTGACTGAACAGAAGGGTTGAGGATCTGGAGGCTAGCGGAGATGCCATGAGGCCCAAGAAGATGTTAATACTAAGTCATGAGTTCAATGGAAGCAAATTGGTGACCAAATTACTAAAACGCTCAATTGAAGTATACCTGTCAGTATATGTGCCACATCTCAAATATTGACCATTACTTTGTGAGTGTATTTATACCCTCCCTACATCCCGTACGCGGACCACTGCTGCTGTGATATTTGATACTACTTGGCAGCATTGGCGGCACATTTCTAACCAATGGACTTCCGTCAAGGTATAGCCTAACCAGTAAATGTGTTGTCCACGATTCGTTTTGGCGAATCAGCGCTCGTTTGTCAATATCCCCATGCGACGTTCTGTGGTTCCTCTATTACTGTAGAGCAGCAAACGATTGTGACGCTGAAGGCCTGGCAAAGCTTGAATTCCATGACTGGATGTACAGTGGGGTTGCCCAGAATCTCGGAGATACTTGTGTCGAAGCTGCCCGCACGTTGTTGCAGTTTCGGTTCGGTGGTTCATTGCAGGTGTCGCCTGGCCCAGGCCGAAGCGTGAAGCCTCATCCGCGTTAGATTTTCGTTCGGTGTTCCGGACTAGCAATCTCAGCAGAAGCTTCTGCTAGCCTTGTAGGTTCGGCTTTTCCGGAACCAAGCGCTAAGCCAACCAGGAGCTGTCTTCTTTTTGCTTGACGCGCCTAGCCTAGAGGTGTAGCGCGCCGAACGTATGTTTGGGCTTTTCCGCACCTGGACTGGTTACCGCACAGACTCCCTGCAGGATTGCAGCAATCTTGGAGGCGCTGATGCAGCGAGGCCCGCTTTCCAGCAATTGAGCTTATCACATTCGCTTTCCCCACACTTTCCCCTTCAAACTTCTCGCGACTTCGCTTGGTGAGTACCAAACCACACGAATCTCTTCCTCTCTGGAAGAGCGCACAAACCCGTACTCCGCTCCACCCCACCCCGTGTGGAAAGCCTAATTGGGGGTAAATTTTGAATTCAGTATTTCAGTTCAGAATACCTGGTTTCTCTCACTCTCGAGGTGCCTAGAAGCTCGCTGCTGTCCCAGTGCTTTACGCGGCTTTCACGCGCCGTCCTAGCAGCTCTGTCGGGAGGTTTGTTAGCACCTCTCCTTGGCTCCATTCGCGTCGTCTGGGAAGTCTTTGTGGATTTTCAATTGTCGCCAAGCATCAGCCGTCGTCGCCGCCACTATGACGACTGTCGCCGACTTCCACTCCACTCGCTACACCAGCTGGTGCCCGGAGCGCAAAGACATCGACCAATGTAAGCGTCACGCCATTTTTATTCCGTCCCATGTGCGCGCCGCGCTGCTCTTTTCTTTAAAGGGCAGGCAAAATCCCGTTAAAAAAAAAAAAGAGCAGCGCCGACGACGGGCAAACACGTATACGCACATCTCCAGGTGTTGAGTACCGCCCGTTCTGAAAAGAACGAGGTACTATCGTATCGTACAGTGTACTGGTCGATCACGTTGCTCAAACTTTCCAACTTTGCCGAACTGGATTCTTCTGCAGAGGGAAAAGGAAGGGGGGAGGGAACTGCATTTCTCCCCCGATCGCTTTCCACCTCCCCATCCTCCTGCGCCCTACGGCGACCGACCATCGAAACATTGTCGACGCTCAGCTTTTGCTATATTTTCACATTTCTCTGATTCTTATATGCTGTTGCTTCCCTCACGTTCGCTCCTTTCTTCCTCCTTCCCCCGTTTTTTCCCTCCGCCGACTCTTCCCAGGACCGATCGCTGTCGCGGAAGGCGGAGTTCTCCCCGACTGCCGCGATTGCCGATCCTGATCTGTTGTGTTTTGAGTCGACTCAAAACACGACTCAGTTCACGCGATTTCCGGTCCTGAATTATTCATCTCGTCCGGTTCTCTTCCTGCCCGCTCCTGTCCCCCCCCCTTCTCTTTTCTTGCGTCCCCCCCTCCGCCGGATTTTCCCAGGGGCGAGCACTGTCGCGGAAGGCGGAGCTCCCAAAGACTGCCGCTTCCAGCCGCTGACGCTGCTCCCAGAGGATCACGAAGACGCGGAGGCTTGTAACGAGTACGACTACGCGGCGTGCGCGGAGGAGGACCTCGACGCGTATCTCGAGTCGCTTCCCAAGTCGAACCGATGGACAGGTGCGCGCAATGAGACTTGGAGCTTCTCGTGAAGATTGATTCACCTGAAGTTGCACCTGGGGATGCTTCTATTAACAGAGATCTCGTCCGCGGGGTCGTATCCGGCTCATTATTAGATCAGGAGAATTTTTGCATTGACTCGCGTCTCATGTCTTGTCTTGTCTTGTCCTGTCCTTGCCGATTTAAAAGCGTTGCGTACGTGGTGGGATCAATCTAAAAAGCGCATCGAGAAGCTCAACCTCACTCCTTATCCTGTTCTTTCTCATTCCTTTGTTTCCGCGTGTCCTCTTTTGTCCCATTTCTCGATTTTCTTTCTTTAATTTATCTCTTCGTCTTTTGTCCCATTTCTGTGGCAGAATTGGAGGCGTCGTGCGCGTGGCTGGACCAGGCCAACATCCGCATCGAGGAGCTCGACCTCACACATGGGCTGCCGGAGCATCTCGTCCTCAACCAGCCACGTGCCGAGCACGCGCCTGACACGCATCACCCACGCGCTCCTGCTGGCGCTGCTGCTGCTGCAGCTGCTGCTACAGCCGCGTTCCCTCTGCCTCCTGCCGTCCCTTCCGCTTCTGCTGCTGCAGCCGCGACAGCAGGGGATCTTCCCCACAAGCTCTCGTCCCACTCCTCCTTTTCAGGTGTTTCCACTAACACACAGCAGCACAAGCAGCACCCCACGCTCCGGTTCCTCTCATCCTCTCTCCTGACCCACCTCGGGTTCTCCCCCCGTCCCCACTCTTCCCCCCGCTCCTCCCCCTCCCCCTCCGCCTCCGCCTCTCCAATCAAAACCCGCCAGAATCCCAGACGGCAGAGCAAGGAGTTCGCACTCCGGGCGAAATCGCAGCAGCAGATTCACCACTTCCAGCACCCATCGGCACCGCTCCCCATCCCTCACCACCATGCCAGTTCCTCCCCTGGTGTGCCCCATGGCCCATTTCATCAGTCGTCCTCCTCTCCTGGCGTCCCTTTAGGTCCACTCCACCACCACTCTTCCTCCTCCCCGGGCATGACTGTAGGCCCACTCTACCAATCCTCCTCTCCTAAACTGCCCCTGGCGCCCATTAACCATACCTCCTCCTCCCCTGGTCTTAATATCCCCCAGGCCTCGTTTCACCACTCTTCCTCCTCTCCCGGAATGTTGATCCATCCCAGCGCCGTTCCCTTAACCAGATTTATTGTACCGGAGAACAGCGGGGTGCAATACCAACCAGGCGTTCTTTACAGTAACATTGATGGGGCCGATATGGGGGGCAGCAGTGGCATCTACAGCGCGAAATTCAATGATGCGGAGGAAGAAATCACGGGTGTAGAGATCATTGGGGCGAGTAACACGGTCTTAGGTGGTGGTAACCCTACGCCAGCTGGTACGGCCGGTTACAGCTCTCGCCATCCCAACTTTGGAGGCAGCGCTAGGTTTATTGCTCCAAAAATGGTTATGCAGGAGCAGCTGCAGCAGCAGCATCCTCGTCAGCACATGCCACGTCAGCACCAGGCATTGGCCACGCCAGGTCGTGACATCAGCTCTCGGGTCATGTCATCTGTAGACAGCAGGACAGCTGGCACCGGCAGGACCTTCAAAGCATCCACGCTTTTCCTGCCTGAGTTTTCACCTGGGGCATCAGAGTGGCATCTGGTGGCTCCTCTGGAAGAAGCTTCCTCTGAAGCCTCCTCCAACATGATTGCGCATAAGAGCTCAAACAGCATCAGCAGTGACAGCAGCAAGGGCAGCTGCGGCAGCAGTAGCAATGAAAATAACAGCAGCAAGAACAGCAGCAGCAGGAGTGGTGGTGGCAGCAAGAAGAGTGGATTGCACAAGTTCTGGGCATCTTTGTTGGATGTGGATACGCACACCAAGGGGCGTGGAAGGAAGATCAAGGTGTGGATGGGAGATGCCCCTCGTGCTAATGTGGGTGTGAGTGCGTAGGCATATCGGTACTACCGTAGGTACCCTTTATTATGCCTAATAAATAGGTTAAAACCGACTAGATCAGCATAGATAGTGTATTTTCTGTGCTCGCAGCTCAAGTGCATCGCATGTTACCATCCCTAACAGATCACAAAACAGAACAGCAGTCCCCATTGGAGTGTTCCACTGACATTCCTAAGCGCACCCTGCAACATCGCGTACAGCAGCAGCCGTTGTTCGCCCGTTACTGCTAACGGGGCTTTGCCGACTTCGCGCGCACTGTTTTCCCAAACCTCGCTCTGCCGGACCGGCCGTGTCGGCCTACGCTTCGGGACTAGTCCGAGCCTCGCTTCCAGCATAGCACTAGCTAGCTCGCACGCACCGCATTCCTGTTTGCATGTTTCGCGTATAAATGTTCGCTCATGCCTTCGCTCACATATTCTACTCATTTGACACCTTGGTGCAATTCTCGCTACTCCGATTCATTACACCCGTAACACTTGGTATTCATAGCCTCTTTCCTTTTCGGACCGCGCATCTCCGCACCCCAAGAAATCAACTTTTGATTTTACACTCAAAGGGACTCACGCACCTTAGCCCCTAGGAGCCGCTGTCCTCGCGTTCTCTCGTAAACGCGTGCAACCACGATTGCGCCTAGACTAAGACGAGCCGACGCCCTTCGACATGGCTGAGCGCATTGACGTCACTAGCCTCACGCAGGACCGCCTGGACGAGCTGCTGCGACAACTGCACGAAAGCTCCGAGGAAATCGCAGCATTAACGGCGGAACGCACCTCCCTGCAAAACGACCTCGCACGAGCACAACCCCAAGCACCTAGCACTCCGATTCAGCCCGCACCACAGGCATCGCAACACGGAAGTGTGGGGCAACCCGCGAGCGCCGCAAGTGATGGCGTCGTCCGCCATGACGGAGACGACGACCACGGCACGACAAACCCCGACGCAACGAATGCGGCCAGGAATCAACCTCGAGTTACGATTTCAGTGCCGGCCGGCGAATCAACCCTACCTTCGCCGATGCCGCAGAAGCCGCAGCGTCCACCATGTTTCGATCTAAGACAGCGGGGTGGTCCTACCGTTCAGGCGTGGCTCTTCACGTTGAACGTTTTCTTCGACGCGAACTACGTCTCGGAGGATACGGCAAAGATCCGATACGCCGTGTCGTTGCTGCGAGGACCCGCCATGGACTGGTGGCGCGTCATCGTCACGAAGCCGGTGGACTACGCGACTCTACCGACACGGGAAGGACAAACCGGACCCTGGGCGCCGTCGTATTTCGTGGAGGTGCCCCAGTATCGCACGTGGGACGCGTCGTGCGCAGGTCTGCGCGCTCGTTTCGAGCCGATTGCGGCTTCGATTGCGACGCGACAGAGGCTCCGTACTTGGTGCCAACTCGGTTCTGTCCAAGACTACACGAGCGGGTTTCTAGCGCTATGCGAGCAGGTGGGATACATGCACGAGAGCGAGCGCATCGACCGCTACATCGGCGGCCTGTAGCAGGACATCGCTCAGGAAATCCAGCTTCGCGGCGTCACCGACCTTTAGGAGATTCTCGCCATGGCGGAGAAACTCGATTTCTTCCGCCGACCGAGACCGGGTTCCTACGGAAACAACAATTGGGGAAATCGGCCTCGTCGGACGAACGAGGGCACTACGATACGTGCCGTCGCCGCAAATGCCGCTTCCGCACCGTTCAAAGGGCGCTGCTTTGCTTGCAATCGGCCGGGACACCGCAAGAGCGAATGCCCGGAAAACACTAAGGGAAAGGGGGAAGCTGAGCAGCAGAAACAGACCAAGCAGCAGGGAAACGCTGGGAGTCAGTAGCAGACGGGCCCTCTACTGACAGGTCACGCCGCTCGCCCGACCCAACCCACCCTCACCGGATGATTGTGCCGGTTCACGCAATCGACGACACCCGACCGAATAAGGAGGGTACTACGGTAGACAGCCCTATACTGCTTAGTGGGAAAATTGGGACTCACTTAGTAAAAATATTCGTAGATGGGGGAGCCAACCACAGCCTCATCAACACTTCTACAGCACGAAAACTGCGACTACCACTGGACAGATGCTTACCTGAAATCGACGCAAGATTGGTCGACGGCACGCTACTGGCGATACGGGAACGTGTGGACCGAGTTCGGATTCGATGTGGGGGTAACTTCACGTTTAGCCAGGAAATGCTCGCAACGACCCTCGTCGGAACCGATGTTTTACTCGGGCGTGACTGGCTGCGACGACACAATTGTCAGAACATATCTATAGCTTATACTGCTGTGTAGGCTGTAGTGGGGTATCCCATAGGGGGTACAACCCAGTTAGGGTTTCATATTTGTACTGCTTTCATTCATAGTTCATTCATTCCTGCTTACTCTTTTCACATGGTATAGAGCTAGGTCCCTCCAGGACCGAAATTTTTGGGCCCACCGAAGCGCGCCCCCGAGGCGCGAATTTTTTTTTTTAGCGACCCCTCGAGTCGCTCTCTCCTCTGCGGCCTCGCCGCCCACTCTGTCGCGGCCCCGCCCTGCTCCTTACGCGGCCCCGCCGCCTGCTCCTTGAGCGGCCCCGCCCCGGCCCTTACGCGGCCCTTACGCGGCCCCACGCCAGCCCCTTACGCGGCCCTTACGCAGCCCTTACGCGGCCCCGCCCCGGCCCTTACGCGGCCCTTACGCGCCGGCCCCTTACGCTGCCCTTACGCGACCCTTACGAGGCCACGCCGCCGGCTCCTACGCGGCCCCTCGCCGGCTCCGTACGCGGCCCAGCCCCGGCCCTTTCGTGGCCCCGTCCCCGGCCACTACGCGGCTCCGCGCCGGCTCCTACGCGGCCCTTACGCGGCCCCGCACCGGCCCCTTACGCGGCCCTTACGCGGCCCTTACGCGGCCACACCGCCGGCCTCCTACACGGCCCTGCCCCGGCTCCTATCACAGCCCCGCCCCGGCTCCTTCGCGGCCCTGCCCCGGCTCCTACGCGGCCCTACCGCCGGCCCTGACGCGGCCCCGCCCCGTCTCACTTCTACGCGACCCGAGCCGCCTGTCACCGAGCCGCCCGGGACCCGAGCCGCCCTGCAGCCGAGCCGCCCGGGACCCGAGCCGCCCTGCAGCCGAGCCGCCCGGGAGCCGAGCCGCCCTGCACCCGAGCCGCCCTGCAGCCGAGCCGCCCTGCACCCGAGCCGCCCTGCCGCCGAGCCGCCGAGCAGCCGAGCCGCTGTACACCTGAGCCGCCCGGTCGCCGTTCTGCTTTTCTGTCGAGCTGCGCGACCTGCCCTGCCTGGTGAGCACAGTCCCACTGTCACTGCATGCTCTCCCCCCTACTGCTTGCACTGCTTCACAGTCGTCGTCATGGCTACCCCTAGTGTCCTAGCTTTTGACGCTGAGGGTCGCGCCATTGATTTTGAGGTCTGGTTAGACGACCTGCAGCTGTTCTTACAGTGCGACAGGGCTGACGACCTTTCTCTCTTTGACCTCACCTCTGGCGCCTCTTCTGCCCCTGCTGCTGATGCTGATCCCGCTGTCCGCTCTAAGTGGGCCACCCGCGATGCTGCTGCACGTCTTGCTGTGCGTCGCCACCTCCCTACCTCTGAGCGTGCGCACTTTAGTCAGTACAAGAGTGCTCAGACCTTGTACGACGCTGTAGTTGCGCGCTACTCCTCCCCTGCCACTGCTGCACTGAGCCGTCTCCTGCTTCCCTACCTCTTTCCTGACCTCTCTGCCTTTCCCACTGTCGCTGACCTCATTACGCACCTCCGCACTAGTGACACTCGCTACCGCGCCGCCCTTCCTGCTGAGTTCTGCGCTAAGAACCCCCCCCCCATGTACATCGCTCTCTACTACGTAGTCGCCCGCCTCCCTGACTCCCTTCGCGTCGTCAGGGACCACTTTCTCGCAGTCTGTCCCACCACTCTCACCGTCGACCTCCTCGAGAAGGCCCTCCTTGCAGCGGAGAAGAGCATAGTCGCTGTAGGTGCTTCTCGTGGTGACCCTCGCACCCCCATCTTTGAGGGGTGCTCTCCTTCCCCCTTGCTGCCCTCTGTTGCCTCTGCTGCTGCTGCCGACCTGCTTGGTCTTGAGTCGGTCGGCGCGGCGTCTGCCCCTAGTGGGAGACGTCGCTCCAGCAAGGG